AGCATGTAGTTTCATGAGAGGATTTCTTGGTGATGATATTTTGTATCTATTAAATGAAATCAATCGTTGGCTAGAAATAATTGATAAGATACTAAGTCACATATAATGATAGGTCTAGACATATAAGTCATAGAAATAATACCATTAAGTAATTGATCTCAATGGTGTAAATTCGTAGTACCTTTAAGAGATTTACCGAGACATTATGTATACTGCATATCAAAAGGAATGGGATTGAAGCCTACTACGTTAGAATCCTTGTAATGATAACCCTACCTTGTTGACTATAGATCCCAAGATCTTGATTCAAAGGGATAACTAAGTTATAAGGATTCCATGAAGCACTAAAGAAAATAATTTCTTAACTCATTTCTATGATATTAAAGTGCTTTCTGCAGAATTATAAGAGGTTAAGACAATCTTTTAATGATTCATATATCTTGATTAAGTCAAGTGGAGTAGGACAGAATACTCTTAATAAGAGATTACCTATATAAGTGTGAAGTGGGGCCGCTTCAATGAAAATTATTTAAGGCTTGAATTCTCTAAACACTCGCAGAACCAAGAAGGGTTCAAGGTCAAAATAAACCAAGTCATGAGAAACAAGTACGGAGTAGGGAAAATATCTGTGTGAGTATCGTTGTCTAAGTCTTGGCTTACACTAAAGGTTGAATGGTTCAAGACATCACATTCACCAATTAGCCAAGTAAATTCGATGGTATTTCACTATGGGAGGTTCAAAGCTAAAAGCTACCATCCCCGATTTAGTGGCTTCCGGTTCTCTCTACTATGTATCACATCATAGCATTACATCTGCATACTCGAATTTTCATTCATGTGGGGGTTTGTTAGAATTGGTTGAAAAAATTAACCGAAAATTGGTTAAGTGTAAAACTGAGAAAATGAAGAGGTGTGACTTCGTGTCAACTTCGACCAAATATTCGGACTTAATTCGATGATTAAATTACAAAAGTAAATAGACCAACTTATTTTACTCATCGAGTAGATCTTCGTGGTATATTTGGAATCTCGAAACCGATTCCGGATAAATGAGAATTTGCAGTCCAAAGTTGGAAGGATGAAGTGTTGCAACTTTTCAAAATGATGTAGGTCTAAAATAAAGTGTTGCAACTTTTCATGAAAAATGTTGAATTTGGGATGTGTCCCTTCACCCACATCCTTTCAACTTCTATATATAGGACCCTTTGGACGTTCATTTGAAATTTCATATTATTCATTTCATGTCATGTTGCATCAAATACTTTGTGGAAGTGATTATATCCTGCATCCAAATCATGGTTATGGTAGAGAGGGAATTCCGTTTGAGTTCGTTGGTCGAAATCATTTGGAGTGCTCCTATGACTTGACGTGGTCGTTGTATCTTGGGAAATGATTGTCGAAAAATCGTTAGCATTGATGCAGTGCAAATTCATATTAAAGAAAGAGCGTCAAACATTTACCTCGGCCAATCGCATCACTTGCATCTAATTTTCCTTATTTCTGGCTTCTTTCATCATATATGATTTCAGAAATTAACTAATTCTCTTTGATTTCATGTAAGGTTGAAATTCAAGAATGGAATGGATGAATCTATACTCATGTTTTCGAAATCAGATTCGGTAAGTCAAAACTTTGATTTGAATTCGTGAATATATAAGGTATTTTTTTGTGAATATAATATACACAATATTAGTGTATTCAGCAACAATAAATAATATTTTCATTTTTATATTTATTAATGCAGAATACTGAGTATAATCCATCTTGCCAAACTAGGAGTAATAGATACAAATGCAGACGTATACGATTTTCTCCACGTCTTCCAATCAAATTAGGTTTAATTAGTTTATTATAATTGTCTAAAGTTTAATTTAGACCGTGAATTGAAAGATTAATGAGAAAATGGACAACATTAAAGGTACTTTACTTTGTTGGTCAAAAAAAGCTTGAAAATTGTAATTAGAGTATGGCAAATATGAAATTCAAAGGATGAGAATATATAACCCTTTTTTTTTTTTTTTTAACTCTCAAAATGTTGTAAATAATCCGTGAAAAAACCATTTGCCAGCATTCACATGAATCTGCAAGACGTGAGCCCATTTATGCAAGACTTTCCCAACCCATAAAAGTTTAAAAGGAGAAAAATACACAACTATTAGAGTATAAGAATCATATTTAATATCTAACAATTTTATAAAATAGTTTCAAAAATCAGATGCAAAATGCAATATAATAATAAATAATATAATCTAAATTATGATAAAATATAGTTTAAAATAGATTCTATAAAATAGATAATATATTTAAAAGATATTTATCACTCTCCCCACAATAAAACACCATATTTCTCTCTCTGCACACCCGATTTCCAAAATCGTTGCAATTTCTCCCTAAATCTTTGATTTTGAGCCAAAATCGAGGAATAAAGTCGAATAAAGTCAACGAGAATTTTAAAATTATCATTTTTATGAAGCTGAAGGTCGTTGGTAGACCATTTGAATTTGCCCAAAGCAAATAATGACAGTCCTTGACAATTCGAAGCCCTAACAAGCACGTTAGTATTTATTATGGTCGAATCGAACTTATGGCATTTTATGAAAGTGAAAGATTACAATAATTTATTCTTTTAGCAACTCAAAGGCCAGAAGTTGGTTTTACTGAAAAATGAAGAGATTTCAAACTTTAATAGAGACAAGAATTCTGGGATTTATGAAGTTGAAGTGAAGCTTTATTTGCGGATTAGGCTGTGAAATCAAAACAAATGAATGTTTGTGATGATAGCCACACATAATAAAATTTCCTTTTACAATGGTAAACAAAGAAGTGGGCATTAGGGGCAGACCCAGAATTATAGTTCAGTGGAGGCGAGATAGAAATGAACTAAAATAAATTATGAAAGAAACCAAAAAAAATCTAAAAAATTACATTTAAAAAGGTCCAATTGAAGGTTTCTGAAAATTCAGTGGAAACGGCCCATCCCACTCGTCCTTTAATGGGTCTGCCCCTGGTGGGCATGTTGTGGATTCTGTACTATTGTATGTATTCTTGGGAAGGCCTATAAATAATTTTGGTGGTACTAGCTATTCATAATAATTTGTAATTTTGATACACGTATATGGAATGGGTTTTAATGCATCTAATTGCATTTTGAGCTCATTTCATGTTGTTAATTCATTATTTGGTGATTTTTAAGTTATATTCCCCATTTTTTTACCTTACTTCCTAGTAAAGAATCTCGAAAATTAAATGTTGAAAAATGGAAAACTAAAATCATTTTAGAAGAATAATATAAGACCTCGTCCTGGGTTGTTGAATCCAGCTGCACCAGAAAATTTTGTTGAAAGAAAGTGGGTTCTGTATACAATATGGAACAGAGTTTTAGCTTCAATTTCGAGATCGTTGGTAAAATTACTCGTGTCAATCATCCCTTGTTAACCAACCAGGTCTATTATAACATTAAATATTTGTGACCAGACATGTGTAAATTATTAATGTTTAGAAATAGGTATATATTCAGTATAATTGTCTGTGACCAAATTTATCTTGACTTTGATTGTACGCGTTTAGATATTTCTTAAATGTGATTGTCTGTTACCATGCCAATCTTAAATGTGATCATTTGTGACCTATTTTGTCTTAACTTTAACTATATGTGATCAGTACCATCTAAAACATGATTGTATGTGACCATATTTGTTTTAATAGTGTTTTGTGATCTAGCCCATGTTTGAACTCCATTCTTTTTTATAAAAATAAATTTTTAAATTATATATTGATAGGAAATGTGTGGTTAACAAATAAAGAAAGTTTTTGAATTTGGTGTAATATTATTTTATTGAATAATATGTGGTTGAAATAATATCAAAACACTATTTAAGAATGTATTTTTTTCAAAGAATGAGTATCAAACAAGGGCCTAATATGTGAACAATAACTTTTTGTGACCAATTTTATGTTAATTGTGACTCTTTGTAATATTTTATGTGTTAATTGTGACTCTCTGTGTCAAGTTTGTGTTATATGTAACTATCTATGATCATGTTTGTTTTCATTATGAATGTTTGTGCCCTATAATGCGTTTATTATGGCATATTGTTATCTAACTGTTACCTATTGTTGCCTAACTACAACTTATACTAATCAAAGACCCATATTATAGGAACAATCCATTTCTTGACCACAAATTAGAAATTTTATAGATTACAACTTACTTTTAATGTCACAAATTATCAAATTAATTGATCATAAGTTATTTATCGATCATAAATTAATTGATCTCAATTTATTTCTTGATCACAAATCACAACTGTAATAATAGGTTAATTGATCACAATTTTTTTTTTTTTTTTGGTCACAAGTCACAAATTTTAAATATCACGAATTAACTGGTTTCAACTTATTTTTCAATTAAAAATCACAAATTTTACAGGTCACAAAAATATCAAAGTAATTGGTCACAAGTTATTTTTGGATCACAATTTATCTAATTAATTGGTTACAACTTATTTATCGATCACAAATACATAAATTGTAGGTCCCAATTACAAATTTAATCATTAATCACACATTTTTCGATCAGATATTATTTAATTTATTCGTTTTTTCACACAATAACCCTATAATTGGCCACAAAAACTATTCATCCGACCAATTCCATTCTAACACCACCAGCATCACCAAAAAATACTGGTATAATCTCACCACCACCGCCTCCAAACGCACCACACATTGATCACCACTACCTTTGACTCTCCACAACCTTCGACCTAGAGGTGTCAAGACGGACGGGCCGACCAGAGCCGTGAAAACTGGCCCGGATCGACCCGGTACCACGGGCCAACCCGTGATCTGAGCGGGCGGTTCACGGGTCAACGAGGTGTGACCCATGGGTTTCGCGGGTTGCACCTTCACGGGCCGCGGTTAACCCGTTGGCCCGTGAAAAAAAAAATTAAAAAATTTTGAAAAAAAGGGGTGGAGCCATTCGGCCTGCTAGCTCCTACCTGCAAGCAAGCTGGTAGGCAGGTGCTGGCATGCAGGCTACGCCTGCAACAGGCGTAGCCAGTAGCCTGCATGCTTTGAGCCCCATTATATCTCATTACCATCCCACTTTTTGCCATTTTTTCAACCACACGTGGGCCCCATGTGTCAAGGCCAACTGACATTGCAGTTTACATGTGAAATTGGCTTTGAATAAACAATTAATCTACATGACTAAAAGACTACAATAACCCTACAATATTAGGTGTCAAAAGAGGGGCTATGCATTGGGGCGTAATTTTGTAAATTAATAATTAAAGTGGAGGTGGTTTTGGTCCTTACAATTTCCAACGATCATTTCCTCTGCCGGTTTGTACCTGTGTGCAGACATGGGCCTACTTTAGTAAAAAAAGTTGGGTTGAAAAATGAAATTAATGAGATATAATGGGGCACAAATAGGGGCTAATATTTAATTTTTTTTCCTAACGGTAAAATCGGATTTCATCTATAAATTCAAGTTAATTGGTAATATTTATCTCACTTTCAAAGTTTCAATTGCAAATATCATCACCATCTCTATTATATTTCTTTCTTCTCACTACTAAACTGTTTAATATTACTATATTAAGGATTCTCGCGATTTTCCTTCTCAAAATCCTATTTTCAATGATAGTTGCTCCCCAATAAATTTAGAAGATGATAATGTTGTAGAAGTTGGATCATCTCAAAATTCAAGGAAAAAAAAACAAACACCAGAGGTGTGGCAAATTTTTACAGTAAATGAAAAGGATGGAAAAGCAGTATGCAATATCTGCAAAAAAAAAAAATTATGTCTGGAGATATGGTCAAGGCACCGGCACGCTACGGAGACACAAAGAGAAAAATCTAAATGAAACAGGACATTTGGATCCTAGACAAACTCAAATTACTTTTACTCATTTTGTTCTTATTCATAGGAACGAATGCGAGTTGGGATGTCGGAATTTTTAGCAGCTCGTGAGATGCCCTTCACATTTGCAGAAGATCAATATTTTGAAGAGTTCCTGCAAACGTACATTCAACCTTCTTACAGGAGTGTAAGTAGAAATACTGCTCGTTCTGATTCTATGAAATTATTTCATTGAGAATTTAAAAAATGAACTTAAAAAAATTGATGGAATTATGTGTTTCACGTCTGATTGTTGGTCTGGACGAAATCATAATGGTTATGCTTATGTTACAGCACATTTCATTGATAATAATTGGTTATTAAATAAGAGAATTATTGCTTTTCGTTTACTTGAATATCCACATAATGGTGTAAATTTGTGTGAAAACTTATTACAAGTTTTTAATGAATTTGGTGTGTTAAATAAACTATTTAGTGTTACCTTTGATAATGCAAGTGCTAATAATGCACGTATTGAGCTTTTAATTAGAGCAGTTACACCCATATATGATTCTAAATTATTTCACATGTGTTGTGTTTGTCATATATATAATTTAGTTGTGCAAGATGGTTTGAAATTAATAACGCCACAAATAAGTATAATTAGAAAATCTATTAATTATATTTCTTGTTCAGATTCTAGACAACAAGAATTTGCAAAAATTTGTAAAAATCTTGGATTGAGAAAAAGAAAATTTGTTGATGATGTTCCTAATAGATGGAATTCAACTTTTTTAATGTTAAAATCATGTGTTGGCTATATTAATGCTATTAATGCATTTGTTAATTCAAAGCAAAATCAATTTTTTATAACTGATTCGGACGGGGAAAAAGCATTTAAAATTATGAAATTTTTGAAACCTTTGTATTAGGCAACAAAAGTTAGTTCTGGAGTTTATTATCCAACTAGTAATCTTGTACTTTTACAATTAGTAGAAATTGGTGAACAGATTTCATCATTTAGAGACGATCCATTTTTCTTTCAAATTATTTACTCAATGGAGGAAAAGTTTAAAAAATATTATGAAAACATGCCACTAATTTTTCCAGTGGCAGCTGTAACGGATCCTTGCATTAAGTTGTTTGGAGTTCATTGTGCTTTAGAATCACTTTCTGAAACATTAGCTTTTAACATAAATATTACAAATCGACAATTGGATATTTTTATTAATGAAATGTATAACAACTATTTTATTAAATATGGTAACAATGAAAATATTTCTTCTTCTACAAACTCTAGTACAACTTCTAAAGGCAAATCTTCTTTTTTCTCCATAATAGCTAAGAAACGTAATGTTCTTGATTCTTCATCTACAACTTCAACTGCAAATCCAAATACCACACCTGGTGAATTAGAAAGATATTATCAATTTGATCATTATAGTTTAATACCTGAAGATGATGAAGTGGATAATTTAGATATTTTACGATGGTGGAAATTAAATGAGTGGTCATACCCTGTATTATCTAAAATGGCACGAGATCTACTAACATTTCCAGTCTCAACAGTGGCATTCGAGTCTGCTTTTAGTGCAGGTAACAGGGTATTAGACGAAAGAAGATCTAGACTTAAAGAAGATATTTTGGAAGCTCTCATATGCGTGAAAGATTGGATATTCGCGGATCGAAGGATGCAAGATAAAATTATTGATGATGTTGCTGAAGACTTCAAAAATTTTGCAATTCCTGAAGATTGATTGGGAAACAAATATATAATTTTTGAACAACTAAATTATAGTTAAGTAGGTGCCAACCTAGTTGGGATGTACTTAAATTATAAATTATAGTAAAAGTAGGTGCCAACTTAGTTGGGATGTACTTATGCTATAAATATTTGATAATAGTAATTAGAAATGCAGTTAGTTGTTATTTGTTTAAGTTAAATTTAACTTTTCAAAGTTATAAATAATTCATGTAACATTAAATTTGAATTCTATGTAAACATTTTTTGGTATAATTATGAATTTATCATTTTGTTCAATTCTTTGCTTACATTTAACAAAAAAAATATTTTTTGCTATAAATTTGAAAAATTCTATATTTTTATAATTTTATTTATACAATTATATGGGCCAAATCGGAATAAACTACGACCCATGACTCGCATGGGCTTGACCCAGATGGGTTAGCGGGCGGACTTGGGTTGTAGTTCAAAATTGTGGGCCGATCCGGAACCAGCCCGAAACCCGTAACGGGCGGGCTTTTTTTCATGCAGGCCATTACGGGGCTCATAAGTTGGCAGACCAACCCGGCCCGGACCACCCGGATTGACACCTCTACTTCGACCCACCACCACCAACCACTGCAATAGTAGGATCACAATACACACATATCGGAGTCGTTTCCATACATAGAACTGGCACACATACACATTTAAAAATCAGATCTACAGATTCCCCAAATTAAAAATTCTGCAACAAAGATTCTTATAGAAATGGTAAATGAATCACTAATTGAGTACGTGTATAGAAGCAAGTGGGCGTTTTTCGGCAGTTACGTCGCTGGTGGTGATAAGTGGGAATTTTATGGTCCTGGTGGCGACGAGGGGAAGTTGTACAGTAGAAAGAGCTATTTGTATGTTAAAGAGAGAGAGTTTTGTTGTGGAGAAAGAATGAGTTGTTGTAAAGAGATATTATCTTTTGGAGAGAAATTAGGAAGATAAATGTAATTTAATAAATATATATTAATTAATTTAATGAATTTTAATTATTTCCTGATTTATGAATTTAAAATTACTTCATCTTATTTTTGAATAGTATACTTCATACGAAGGATTTTGGGTAAATTTCCCGTTTAAAACGGATATCAAGATGGGCTAAAACAATAAGACTTAAGTAGACCCGACGCAAACAGTAGCACAACTGATGATTGGTGTCCTTGGTGTTCTATTTGGTTTTTAAATATTAAAGATTTTAACAAGCAATCACTTTTACCCTCAATTTTCCACTTTTGGATTTTTGAGTATCGAACAATATAAAGAAATAAGTTTAAACTTTGCTAATTGTACAATAAATTTAGTCTTGACCGACACTAATAATATAGCGATTGCACCACTGTTTTTGACGCAGACAAGCGTACATTATTCTTCTTTTATGATTTAACAAGCACAAAAAATTGTCAATTCTTTCTCCTATTTAACCTTATCCATCGAGTCTCTTTCAAAATTGTGTTCCCCTGATGTGTGTCAAAAATCATGAAGATAGCAAATCAGTTCATTATTCCATTATTATATAAATAATAAAGTATGATTTTAGAGTTTGATTTGAGTAGGCCCAAAACATATTTGGTGTTTTAATGTTTTCCAAATGGAGAAAAAGGTTGTTAGTGGGATTGGTTGTTGGAGTTAAAAGTGATGGATTTTAGGGATAGAAATGATAGATGTGAAATTTTATATTTTTGAAAGAACAAACTTTACTCCTAATTTTTATTTTATCGAGCAACGTGTGATTTAAATATTTAATAAGGTATGGAAATATTGTGAGATCTCCATTTTGTTATTCTAGCTTAATATATGATACTTTGCTTTATATCTATTTATAGAGTCTTTCTATTAGAACTTACAAACAAGTAAACATTTATATAAAGGGTAAGTATCCCATGTTGAATTAATATGAAATAAATATACAATATATAAGGAGTACTTCAACTATTACTTTTAGTTCGAGTGACATTTTAAGATTCATAGCATAACTCTGACGAGAAATCAGCTCCCGATTCCAAAAAATACCGTATTCTCCTACTCATCTTGTTTCTGTTAACATCTCGACTCAAGCTCACAAAAAGGGAAAAAAAAAAATGATCCCTCGTCGCCTTCAATTTCATACCCTCCTTAATGTTACAATCTTATGGGCGTCCTCCAAAACCTTGTGTGATGCATGGTCTACTTTGGCTACAACTTATGTCAAACCCTATCATGGTCGAATCAATTGTCTGTCCTCATCAAAGGCCCTCTTACTATAACTGAACATCTTTAAGTAATGAAGAGTAAGTCGCTTTCAACCACTCTCCTATCCAAACTGAGAAGATCTTACTACTAAAATCCTTGATGGAAAGATTATCCGTGTTGTCCGTGCTGGAGGCACTGCAATCAGATTTGATGAGCTTAATGAGAAATTACTTAATTTTGAGGCTCATTTCCAGTCCATGACCGGCAAACAACTTCAACTTCCAACGTCCACTGTCTCCAAACCCCTCTCTTGTCGAGATATTTGATCCGATTAAGTTGCAAATGAGCATACAGATATCAATATTAGTGTT